TCAGTGAAGCTCTTCGAGTATGGCGAGATAGAGATTAAGTCCTTGAAGTCGATGAAGCCGAATTATGGTGGTTTGAAGTCAAAATCGAAGTAGGAATCGAGCTTTTCAAGCCGTTCAAGCCGAAATTATGGCCATTAGGGCCAGATCATCGTCGTGAGGGTTTCGAGAAACGTGAAGCCGGTTTCTGCAGATACAGATCCACGCTGTCGTCGAGGCTGATGTGGAACATGGTAGCTGTGAGGGAGAAGCGGTTGAGGATCGCTTGGTATGTGTGTCCACTCCCCTTTCAGTGGCCCTTTAATACCCCGAGGGCCCAACGGGGGCGGGGCCCGGGTGTGAATCTTCTCTGGCTGGTCAGTAGTCTATTTGATGCAACCTTGCGACTCCACCCCCTGTTTTCCGATCGTTTTTCGGGGAATTTCACAGCGAATCCGCTAAGAATGGGTGGTGAAAATGATAAGCTGGGAGGGCACATTTCGTGAAGTGATTTATGGGGGTTTTGGAGGTGACGGCTTGGATATGAAGCCGGAAAGACGCAGGAGGACAGACAAAGACAAAGACGAAGTACGGTAATGGCTTGAAAATTGTTGCAAAGCGTAGCCAGTAGGATTGATCGGTAAGTTGTGATGTTTACGAAAAATATTTTCTAGATAGCCTGGACTTCTCAGACTTTTGAAAGGAGTGTCGAAAGTAAAGTCAAGTAGTTTCTTACTCACACTTTCTCTCTTTATCTCTCTTTCTCTCTCTCTCTCTCTCTCTCTCTCTCTCTCTCTCTCTTTGTACCGTTTTAAAGGTACTTGAAGGAAAATCTGTTAACCCCTCCGGTAGCCGTTTCCGGCAACTCCAAAAATTTTAGAAGGGTACGGTAACCAAAAATTTTAGAAAAATACGATGGCAAATTAAAGATGTCTTCTGCCAAATTTAAAACCTGCAGACTCTTCACGCTTCATTTGATGCAATCTTTGCAGCAAACCAAGACATAAATCAGCCCATCACTTCCTCCCGAGGCTCCAAGGCACGCCAAAGGCTGATAAACCCAGCCAAACGCACCGAAAGCACACTGTTTCACAGATTCCTCGATTCTGGCGGCTCCTCCCTAGAGGGATAGTTGAACTTTCAGCTGGTACAAATAGATTTCGGCATTTTCGCGGGGTTTTAAAGGGACTGGCAAGGCAAAGTGGTCTGAATTTTCGTATTCTTTCGGACTCTTGCAAGCATATTCGTACGCTGGACCAAAGCCTAAGGATCTAATCAAAACTAAGCCTAGCCAAAGCGCAAACCGAATGGAAGCTTAAAGGTACACTAAAATCTCGTGCAAAAAGTCAGTTCGCGGTCAGAAATCCGGGTGCTCTGCCGCGCAAGGCCCGGACCCTTCTTATCCCCTTTCCCTTTCACCTGTCCCGTCTGTCCATGGCCTATTGGTCTATGACGCTTGCCCCAGGCGAGTGGCGCGCGTTCGGTTTTCCTCCGCGGTGAGCCCCTACCGTAACCCCGTTTGCTATCCCGCGGACGGTTACCGGCCGGTAACCAAGCCAACGAGACGTTAGTGTACCTTTAAGCTTAAGCCTAAGCCTAAGCCTAAACCTACACCTAAGCCCAAGCCTAAGCCCAATCCAGAGCCTATGCCCTATTTTAAAATTTCTGAAACACACTTGTTTTAGTACGCATACTATGATATTCATACATTAATCTATTTTTATCTCTGTCTACCCTCAGCTGCACCTCGAAATATTCACACGCTTTTCCGGTCCGCCTCCGCCGGGCCAAGTGGCACGTAGATTGGATAATTTGCTGTCTCACTTTTGCGAATTTTGCTGCCATAATCCGGACACGACTCACCGTCCGTCCATAGGTCACTTTCGTACCCTCACTACGAAACTTTGCCGCCCCCCCCACCCCCTCGTGACGTACCAAACCAAAAAATGGGCAAAAACGCATCTCGAAACATTTGCTTCAGCGTCCCACAAGGAACTCGGCGAGGTACAGCGAAAATCAGTGCACTTCCGCCACGAATTAAAATTCTTGATTACAATTAAACCCTTGGTGCCAAAATACGAAATTGGGCCATTTTTTGGGCAGCGCAACGTCGCATCATGATTGAGGGAAGCCCGGGAGACACCGGAAAACTGCTAATTTGAATTCTGCTAATTTTTCGGGGGGTTTTTTCCGGGGTGCTAATCCGGCAATGAAAACGGAGTGTAGGTGTAGGCGATGCTGGATTCTAGACAATGGGATCAAGCCGGAGGGCGGATTTCTGCACCTTTTTTGAGGGGGATGTGGAGGGTGGCTAGGGCGGATTAGCTCATTTTCTGTCTCTTTCTAGCTCCTCTCTCTTTATTATTTTTTTTTAACTTAGCTCAGCAGCGTAGGTTGACCTGAATTTGAATGAACCGATTACGTATAAGCTTTAGAGCCCGTTTTAACGGAACGCGAAAGAGTCAAGCCTAAGCCTAAGCCTCCTAAGCATAAGCCTTAGCCTATCTCTAGGCCTAAACTTAAGCCGGAGCCCAACCTAACTGTAAGGTGTTTTTACTCAAGTTGGAGTTTCGATTCGGGACCAAGTGCTTCTTGTGCAGAATTTTTCGCTGATTCCGAATCCGCTTTCCAAATTTGCTGCGGACTTTTATTTTGAAAGTTATACAGCAGTTATGGTAGTGTTTTTCACCAAAATCAAGGAGCCGTTATCGTTTTCGATTTTCCTGATCAATTTCAACTTCAAAATTGGCTAGAGATTGGGTAGACAAGCATCTTAAAAGTCAAAACAAGCGTTTTTATAAAAAAATAAATTTTTTTATGCAAAAAGGAAAAGAAAGGTGCAGGGCGGTGATCCGAACCTGCGCCCCGCGCTTGGCAAGCGAGTACTTTGCCAATGCACCATCGTGCCAACCGGGAGGGGAGCTGTGACAGAGTACTTCAGGGCCCCTAGCCCTCCCAATCCCTTTGAGACAATCCGTACTTTTCCCCGGCCATCCCTGATTTTGTTGTTTTGTTGTCATTCCTACCCAATCCCCAGAAACCCCCCAAATTTCCAGACCCATGCTGAACCGGGGGTTTCCATACACATTATTTTTGACCTTCTTCCACATTTCGATTCTTTCATTTCCAGAAAAAAATGGGGCTCGAAGCCAGGTGTGGCCTTTTGGGGGAAGGCGATGTTTCGGAGATCGCTGAAAAATTGGTGGAAGCCCCGTTTATTTTGGTTGTTTTGTTGGGGCGGTTATTGGCCGGATTAGGAGGATAGTTTTTGAACTTTTCCGGAAAATTATAATCGAACTTAACTTGGCTATCGTCAGAAAATAGGCTAAACTCTAGGCGGAGCTTATGCCCAAACTTCCCTGAGCCTAAGCCTATGCCTAGGCCTAAGCTTGCCTAGTTACACCTTCCTAACCCTCAAAAATCGCCTTACTTTTTCCGCAGTAAACCAAATATCCCATTCCGCCACCGCAACCTCATCTAATCCAGGTTTTTGGCCGAATGCCTTGGCTCCACCCTAAATATATCAAAAATCTGGGAACAGCCAGCTTCTTGCCCCAAAAGTGCTGGCCCGAAAAGGCTCAAAAAGTGAATTATTAATCGACCCGTCTCGCCCCGCACGACTTTTCCGCAAAAACACCCATTGGCAGGCCAGAAAACTAGCGATTTATGATTTTGCGGGATCGGAAATTGGAGTGTACCTACAGAATTATAAAACTGGCGTAGCAGCTCCTGACGGAGATACGTCAGCATATCGTACCCTGGCGTACTGTATCGTAATGCAGTGTATTGCTTTATCGAACTATGGGCATGGTAACGTACTTTTTCGTACTGTATCCTGGCGTATGGTATCGTAGCGTCCCGTCGTGACCTAGGCGTACAGTAACGTACTTTTGCGTACTGTACGTAATTGGCGTGACGTAGCTCAATGTACCCACTTCCCCATTCATAACCCAATCCGTTTCTGTACTCTTGCCACTTCCCAAGTAGAGCATAGAACAAAATATTGGAAGACAAAAGAGCATAGTCCGTGGTTGGGGCCGCTCTCTCTATTCTCGGACTGACCACATTCATCACTTGGACCCCGGCCTGCCAAGTACACAAATGAAATCATCCACTCCTAGTAGTCTTTTTAGGCCACTTTTTTACGGCCCTTTTTAAATGGATTATTTTGTGAACATTGAATGAAGAAAATTAACTGGATAAAAGGTTCTAAAGGAGCTTGGAAAGCATTTGTCTTTCCATACCCCACAGATCACCCCGGCGCGTGCGCAAGCTATTTTCGGCCCGCCCATACCACCAATCATCCAAAAAATCCGAGTCCTCCAAGCGCAAATTACCCACCTAAAGCTTCAATCCGGAAGTGTACCTCTGATAATCACAACCTTAAAACCTTGATAAGCACTACCCCCTGCAAATTTGCCCACCCATCCACGCCCGGAGTGCCCTTTAATTTAGACCGGAAATGGTCGGAACCTTTCGAAAGGTTGGGATCAAGCTGAGCGAAAAATAGACGGGTTTCCGTCTGACATTAGGGCAAGCTGGCCGATTGCACGGTTGTACGGGTGGTTACGGTTGAATTTGAAGCAGGGGGTACAAAATATTGGCACGGGGATTTGTACCAAGGGCCCGATTGTGCTGCAGCAATTTCGTACGACCCCATAACGAAATAGCAGCCCCTTTTTATGGCATTTTACAACGTTTTTAGCTTTAAAAAACGCGTAAAATATTTTGAAAATCACGGAAATTTTCGAGTTTTTGCTCAAAAATCCTGAAAAAGCATTAAAAAGTTTACAGTTTCAAAATATCAACAACATTTTTTTATCAAGCAAAAACTTGGTAAAAAAATGGATAACTGAAGATCACGTGGATCTAGTTCTCTCTCTCTCTCTCTCTCTCACTTTTTCCAAAATTTCCAGCACTTGCAGCGACTAAAGTGTCGTTATGACGAGTGTTTCATGATGAATTGGGTTCCCCGACTTCCTCGAGTCGTATAAAACTCCTTGAAACCCGACGAAACTATCAACATGAAGGTGTTCATCTTTTTCTTGCTAGTAACGGCCACTTCCGGGCAAACAGTTCGTATCAAAGTTAAGGTAGGTTGGGGAAGGGATAAGAACTTTCTAGTCCATGAAATTCTTCCAGCTTGGCGACCCCTACATCCTGGACATTCCGGGGGCCAAAAAGTTCATGCGTGAGCTTGCCTCCGGTGAGCAGCAGCTCTTCAAGATATGTGAGGATGAGACGGAGCGGAGTCTGAAGTGCACGCATTGGACAGATAAGGTCTTAAATTGCTGTAGACACTCAAAGAAAAATAGAAAGAAAATCTCTTGCCTCTGACTTCCCCAATACACGCTTATAAAAATGGCACGTTGGTGGTGGAGAAGCTGACGTTGGATGATGTGGCGGTGTATTGGAGTCCGGATGTGGAGATGATTGTCACAGAGGTTTGGCAAGCCTACGTATAAGTCTAACAAGGAGTCGCTTTTAGGTGCTTTTGGAGTTTCGGGACGGGACCTAGCTAGTTCGATAGAGAAAAAAATTCTGAGCAACATCCCGTTTTCAAAAAGTGCTGATCGATAAAGCTGTTTTAGAAAATTTAATTTAAAGTTCGCGTTTTTTTCTAGTTTTTGGGTCCATTTCCTCGGTTCATGTCGTTGTCGGGGTTTGGCCGGGCACCATTCATAACCCTCCGCCAAGGCCTTCGTCACAGGTTGCATTGGCGTATTGGTAGCGCGCTTGCCTACCAACTTTTTAACATTTTTTTTGCCCCGGGTTCGAATCTTCGCGCTGGCTAACCGTTTGCTTTTTGGTTCTTGAACCCGTTGTCGGTGCATAAAATTTTAGTTGGCAAAAAAGCAAGGAGTTAACGGTAAATAAGAATCGAACTTGTGGCAAAAGGTCAAAAAAACTTCGTAGGCCATCGCACTAGCCACTTGGCCATGCAGAGGACGAGATGCAAGGCGCATGAAGTCCTCATGTGGCGGGGGCGATCAACCGCCGCAAATCACCTCAAATCACCACAAGGGTTCGGATACCGGGAACGTTTTTAATTAAATTAAATTTTCTAAAACAGCTTTATCGATCAGCACTTTTTGAAAGCGGGATCTTGCTCACAATTTTTTCTTATCGAACTAGCTACGTCCCGTCCCGAAACTCCAAAAGCACCTAAAAGCGACTCCTTGTAAGCCTAAGCCTCAGCCTGAGCCTTGGCTAGGCCAAAGCCAAAGCCTCCTTTTCTCGATATCCTTTTTTAGCGCTTCGAAGATGGCGCTCCAATGGCCGTCATGCCGGGAACGATGGTTGCCCTGTTCCTCGAGAAATAAACGACTCTACGCGTCACCTAACGACAGTATTTTTGTAATGATAAAGCTTACCATGAATTCCATTCAATTTCTGTATACGGCTGATGACTCAACACCGACAGTTCCCCATTGACACCCCACTTTTTGTGCATTGTTTGCCCAACCGGGGGAGGGGAGGAGGAGGAGCTGTGAGTCGGGATGAAAAGATTGTTGATGAGTGTGGGGATGATGGATCGGGTTTCCGTGCTTTTAGAAATATAACTGGGCAAGCCGAGAGTGCTGTCAGCCAGACGATATCTACAAATGAGGAACTTTTTGGTTGTTTGCTGCTTTATTGCTGTCGCTCTGGGCCAGACTGCGTTTTATCCCGTAACGGTACGTTTTTAAAGGTTTATTCTTAGGTTTAGGTTTAGGTTAGGATTTAGGCTTAGGCTTATGCGTAGGCTTAGGCGTAGGCTCAGGCTTAGGCTTAGGCTCAGGCTTAGGCTTAGGCTTAGTCTTAGGCTTAGGTTAGGATTTAGGCTTAGGCTTAGGCTAATCCTTAGGCTTATGCTTATGCTTAGGCTTAGGCTTAGATTAGGATTTAGGCTTAGGCTTAGGCTTAGGTTTCGTCTTAGGCATAGGCTTATCCGTAGTTTCAGCGCTCTATCCATCTTATTTCAGCCCGGCGAGCGCGTACAGCTTGACATCCCCGACGCCAAGTCCTATAAAAGAACGCTCCGATCGGGTGGTGAACAACTCTTCAAAATCTGTCCAAATGAAGATGACTTGAGCCCGAAATGCACGCATTGGACACAGGTTTGACAGTTTAAAAATACAGTGGCTTGTGAATTTAGAACGGAACGCTACTGTCAACTACATCAAAAGTCAGAGGTTTTAAAAATGGGACTCTGGTCATCGAGAAAGTGACTGCAAGCGATTTGGGGAGCTATTGGAGCCCGGAAGTTGAGATGATTGTTAGAGAGGTAAGCCTAAGCCTATGCCTATGCCTAAGCTTGCTCTACGTGTTACCTTAAACTCATTTTCAGCGCTTCCCCGATGGATCGCCAAAAATTGCCGTCAATGGACCAGTGATAACCCTTATTCTAAAAGAAAATTAACAATTTGTAATTATCGCATATCGTTGCTCAAATAAATGTATTGTACAAGGCTTTTCCTTCGTTTTTTCGATCGGTGAACCACAGTATATTTTTCTAGCAAAGACAGAGAAAATCGAATTTGGGAATCCTGATCTCCCGACCCCTGAATCACAAAGAGCTCTCGGTATTTCCGGTTGCCAGCCGCGTCAGCTGTTTATAGAGTCCTATTTTTTGGTCTCGAATTTCCATCAGGCCCTATATAAGCTCGTGAAGCCGCGTAGAAGCTATTAAACAACGAAAATGCGAAGCTGTTTTATGCTTCTCTGCTTCGCTTCAGCGGCGATGGCTTCAATGGCCATTATTCCAGTTAAGGTATGTCTAGATGCGGCGAGAAATTAAAAACGGGATAGGAGAACACCTGAAAATTCAGCTAGGCCAGCGAGTGCAAATCGACATCGCCGGCGCCAAGTCGTTCAAGCGCTCCTACGCAACTGGGGTTGAGGAGACGTTCAAGATTTGTGCGGATGAGAAGGACCTGAGCCCGAAATGTACGCATTGGAGTGATAAGGTGGGCTTAGGACGTTAAGTCAAGGTTAAGCTTAGGCTTGGGCTTAGGCTTAGGCCTAGGTTATGCTTAGGTTTGGGCTTAGGCTATGCGTCGGGTGTGAGCTTAGGCTTAGGCTTAGGCGTACGGTTTAGCTTACTTTGACGCTTCACCTGAGCCTTGATTCAGAACGGAAAAGTGCTGACGGAAACCTCACGCATCCGTGGCTTCAAAAATGGCACGCTCGTGCTTGAGAAAATTGTCCTGGAAGACCTGGCGAACTACTGGAGCCCCGAGAAGCAGAACATCGAGACCAAGGTTAGAAAATTCAGACAAATTTTAAACTTTGCTGTTTTTAGCATTCGGATGGAAGCGTGTCGTCCGTCCTGGGACCAGTCTACAGCCTGTCGCTCAGCTAAATTAATCTAATCTGAAAATTCTAATTCATAAATCGTAAAAAATGTTTATCCACATACAAAAAAAAAACATTTTTTTCTGGCTTTAACGGTATGTACAGTGCTGATTCCGCTAGTGTGCTCGGGATGTTTTTGCCGGCTCACCCTTTTTCGGCTCCGCTCTGTAGACCTTGACATAACTCCTTCTTAAGCCCATATTTTTAGCGGGTCTTCGGCAGTGCCGTTAATGGGCCAATGTTTATAGCTTTGTTTTTTTTGTTCTCCAATTTCCGCTCGTCCCTAGATAAGCTAAAGATACCTCTTAGGCGTTATCAACAAACAAGATGCGATGCTGCTTCGGGATCTTCCTGCTTGTTGCTGCTACTACTGCATCAGAGGCCTTCATTCCAGCAAAGACAAGGATTTGCCTTTTTCATTAAATAAAATAACCAAATTCAGCTAGGCGAGCGCGTCCAAATCCACATTGAGGGCGCCAACTCGTTCAAACGCACCTTCCAGACCGGTGTGGAGGAGTTCTTCAAGATCTGTGACGACGAGAATGACTCGAGCCCGAAGTGTACGCACTGGAGTGACAAGGTAGGCTAGGGACGCCTGGGATAGGCGGAGCCAAGGTTAAGCTCAGGCCTATACTTGCCTAAGGTTAAGCTCATGCCTAGGCTTTGGCCTACAAAGAGTGGTTCTCCTAAAAGCCACACCTTGTTAACGTCAACTCATATTCAGGACGGAAAAGTGCTGACGGATACTACACCCGTCCGCGGCTTCAAAAATGGCACGCTGTTGATTGAAAAAGTGGACCTCCGAGACTTGACCGAGTACATGAGCCCGGAGCAGCAGTTTATCGAGACTAATAAGGTTGGAGAAATTCGTGTTACTCATATTCCTTGCCTTATTAACAACCAAAAAAAGCTATTTAAATTGCTTTTAGCATGCCGATGGAAGTGTCTCGGGCGTCCTCGGGCCCGTCTACACCGTGTTTCTTCCTGTACCAAAAAACTGAACTGTACGGCTTGATAAAGTTTTTGATGACCAAACTGGTCCAATGAATGTACACAATCTTTTGACCCTGTTTTTTCTCGTCTCCAATTACGGAAGTGGCTATTTTGGAAAGGGGCTAATTGATCGTTTGATAGGCGAGTGACCTCGAGATTGTCGCTATATAAGCTGAGAGCAGTGATCTGTTGATAGCTGCCGGAAAATGAGAACCGTTCTGATCCTGTGCTTGCTGGTGGCCGCTGTGGCTGGACAGGCCGCTCTCGCTCAAGTTAAGGTAAGGAAAAGATAAGCCTACGCCTAAGGCTCTCTTTCTCTCTCTCTCTCTCTCTCTCTCTCGCTCTCTCTCGCACTTCCATTTATCCCTTCCAGATCGGCGAATCCACCACCGTCGACACGCGAAGTCATTCAAGCGCACCCTCCGCAACGGTGACGTCCAGCTCTTTAAAGTCTGCGACGATGAGAAGGACCGAAGCCCCAAGTGCACCCGGTGGACCGATTCAGTAAGAAATTCCAGACCACTTCCTCTTTTTGCCCCTGCTTCAAAAATTCACTTCCATCATTTGCCCTTCAGAAGGGCAAAGTCCTCTCCAACACCTCGCCGATCCACGCGTTCAAAAACGGCACTCTGGTGATTGAGAAAGTCACCAAGGAGGATCTGGCCAGCTACACGAGCCCTGAACTTGACGCGGCTGCGCTGAAGGTAAGCAGGGCCCAAATTAAATGAATACGATTCTAATGCATTGATTTAAATGATTTTAGAAGGGCCCGGCAGGCGTTGCCGTTTCCGGACCTCAGCTTTCGCTCGTCGAATGATATTTATGCACTATTATTTATGCTTAATAAAATAATGCTTAGATAATTAATAAATGGTTTTGACTATCTCGCTTACCTTAAGGCTTAGGTTAAGCTTAGGCTTAGGCTTAAGCCTTTGACGACCATAACGTATTTTGTAGTTTGCCTGCTCTTTCAACAATTTTCATCCAAGACTCAAGTTCGACAGGCATTCGGAAAACAGTAGTATTCGACGTTTGTTTTTGCGGGCTTTCCCGCATTACCATTCCCTTTATCCCCCACTAACAATCACAGAAAAAAAAAAGATTTTTGTGACTCAATGTGTTCCGACTAAAACGAAATGGATAATCCATGCCGGGAATCGGTTTGTGCTCACGGCTTTTCGATGGTTTTTCATCTGCGTTTCGTCTGGCAGTGATTCAAATTGCAGAATTAGGGATGAATGGAAAAGAACAAGAAACGAAAAATGGAAAAATGGGGCTTTTATTAAAAGCCAATGTAAGTAAACATATAAAAAGCGTAGTGGCAATGAGGAAAAAAGTAAGAAGAATAAAATAGAAAAATAAAAAGGGAAGGCATTCAAGCTAGTTTCGGGAATATGTCCAAATTTTGACTATCGGGACTTTCGCTGCCGGTATTTTCGCTTTTGAATCTCTAAAAACAGTTTCAATTTGGAAGAATATGTGGTAAAAATCAAAAGTTACAAAACTAAAAACTTACTAAAAATGATCGTCGTAAACTTTTCCAAATCCCGTCATTTCTATACCCAAAATACCCCGGATCATTCCGCATCCGCCTGTCTGCACACGCAACCGTCTAATACCACATCGGATTAGAAAAAATAAAATCCCACCTTATATAATTTGGTCGCGTATGTGTGTGTGTGTGTGTGTGGATGTCACTTTCGAGGCCCGATTTGAGGGCCTTCCCGTGAATAAAATGCCCTAATTCTCCGTCACCCGGAGGAATCGACCCTTCTGTTTCCGATGGCGTTCTCAGAATTTCGATAAAATACAAGTTTACAAAGTTAAGGCCGGTTTTATTCATTTTTGGGGGTCCCGGAGGGCTAATTTGCATAATGCGAGAAAATACAAATTTCCTCATTCTTGCCAGTTACACTCGCGCGTTTGGCTGCCTCATTGGAGCTGCCTCTCATTGCCTTTGCTCCCCTTTCACGGTAGTCACCTCGGGGCATACAAGGTGTGTTGCGCGCGCGCTCTCAAGCATTTCATGGTATAGCGGTTAGAGCGTCAGCCTGCCAATCTTGCTATCGGGGGTTCGATCCCTGGCTATCGTATTTTTTTTTGCTTTATGCTCGGAATACATGTTTCGAAGTGTATTTTCCTGTAGAGAGGCGCTATACTGAAGTCAGTCGCTCTAAACTGCGTCGCAGGCTAACGAATCCAGCTAGGCACTGAAACTAGCGCCGCAGGATAAATATTCAGGCTAATCCCTCAAGCTAGCGCCGCAGGCTTTAGAACGAAGCTAGCCGCACAAGCTAGCGCCGCAGGCTTTAGAACGAAGCTAGCCACACAAGCTAGCGCCGCAGGCTTTAGAACGAAGCTAGCCGCACAAGCTTAGCGCCGCAGGCTTTAGAACGAAGCTAGCCGCACAAGCTAGCGCCGCAGGCTTTAGAACGAAGCTAGCCGCACAAGCTAGCGCCGCAGGCTTTAGAACGAAGCTAGCCGCACAAGCTAGCGCCGCAGGCTTCAGAACGAAGCTAGCCGCACAAGCTAGCGCCGCAGGCTTTAGAACGAAGCTAGCCGCACAAGCTAGCGCCGCAGGCTTCAGAACGAAGCTAGCCGCACGCTAGCGCCGCAGGCTTTAGAACGAAGCTAGCCGCACAAGCTAGCGCCGCAGGCTTCAGAACGAAGCTAGCCGCACAAGCTAGCGCCGCATGCTTTAGAACGAAGCTAGCCGCACAAGCTAGCGCCGCAGGCTTTAGAACGAAGCTAGCCGCACAAGCTAGCGCCGCAGGCTTCAGAACGAAGCTAGCCGCACAAGCTAGCGCCGCAGGCTTTAGAACGAAGCTAGCCGCACAAGCTAGCGCCGCAGGCTTCAGAACGAAGCTAGCCGCACAAGCTAGCGCCGCATGCTTTAGAACGAGCTAGCCGCACAAGCTAGCGCCGCAGGCTTTAGAACGAAGCTAGCCGCACAAGCTAGCGCCGAGGCTTCAGAACGAAGCTAGCCGCACAAGCTAGCGCCGCAGGCTTTAGAACGAAGCTAGCCGCAAAGCTAGCGCCGAGGCTTTAGAACGAAGCTAGCCGCACAAGCTAGCGCCGCAGGCTTCAGAACGAAGCTAGCCGCAAGCTAGCGCCGCAGGCTTTAGAACGAAGCTAGCCGCACAAGCTAGCGCCGAGGCTTCAGAACGAAGCTAGCCGCACAAGCTAGCGCCGCATGCTTTAGAACGAAGCTAGCCGCACAAGCTAGCGCCGCAGGCTTTAGAACGAAGCTAGCCGCACAAGCTAGCGCCGCAGGCTTCAGAACGAAGCTAGCCGCACAAGCTAGCGCGCGAGGCTTTAGAACGAAGCTAGCCGCACAAGCTAGCGCCGCAGGCTTCAGAACGAAGCTAGCCGCACAAGCTAGCGCCGCATGCTTTAGATCGAAGCTAGCCGCACAAGCTAGCGCCGCAGGCTTTAGAACGAAGCTAGCCGCACAAGCTAGCGCCGCAGGCTTTAGAACGAAGCTAGCCGCACAAGCTAGCGCCGCAGGCTTTAGAACGAAGCTAGCCGACAAGCTAGCGCCGCAGGCTTTAGAACGAAGCTAGCCGCACAAGCTAGCGCCGAGGCTTTAGAACGAAGCTAGCCGCACAAGCTAGCGCCGCAGGCTTTAGAACGAAGCTAGCCGCACAAGCTAGCGCCGCAGGCTTTAAAACGAAGCTAGCCACACAAGCTAGCGCCGCAGGCTTAATCTTGAAGCAAACCGCTCAAGCTGGCGCCACAGGCCAAAAAAGGAGGCTAATCCCTCCAGCTTGGGCCGCAGGACGAGGTAGCGACCTAGCCGATCAAACATGCGCCGCAGGCCTAATAACGAGACTAGCATTTCAAGCTTGCGCCGCATGTCAATACAAAGAGGTTTGCATGGAAGATGGGTTTTTCTTTCTTCAAGGTAACTTTATGTGGAAGGGCGCTCGATTAATAGGGCCTAGACGGGATCCAGCGGGGGAGAGTCGCGAAGCGGCTCCTCCCCCGCTGGTCCTAAATAATAGTTTCTACCATTCTTGAATCCATCCCCCGCCTCGCAGTATAATCCGCCTCAACTTGTCCCGAAAAATGACTCAAAAATGAATGCGGAAAATGCGGACAGAGCGCTGGTCAGCCGGTGGGGGAAGTGACACTGATCCCTGTCTATAGGCGCGTTATGTACCCGGGACCGAGGGGAAATAAAGAAAGAAAAATAGCGCAAATCTTTGGACAGACCACTTGGATGTCTGCTTCAAAATTGCGGAAAACACCCATCATGAAAATGGGCACAAAATATGGAAAAATTGTTAGAACTTGTGTCTGGGATCAAGGGATTTGGGCGATTTTCAGAAAAATCGTACCCTTGTATACGGTAGCTCCAGAGTACGGTCGGGCTAACGAAACTTATCATTTAAATATGGTAGTTTGAAGCAATGGAGTGCCTGCGGGATATCGGTGCTTTTGCATCATCGGGGGGAGCCAACTTTTCCGTTAGTATCCAATGCTTTCCGAAAATAAAACTTATAATTAATAAAAATATTTTTCTAAGTTGGCTTTCGTATTCCTACAAAATTTTTTCAAAAATACAAAAATATCGAATTTGTAGAAAAAAGGCGGCCGCGGCCCCGATAACGGAAAAGTACTGTGGCCCGACCATTATTCGAAATTTGCATAAAATATTTTTGAATATACCTTGTTTTGGAAAAATCGACATTCCCTAAACTACAAAAAATGCGGCAGCTGCAGCAACTGCTGCTCCTTCTCGGCTCCCTCCAGCCGATCGCGTGGACCCACCCGATGGCCAGGGTACGGTAACCAGGGACTACGGTATTTGGATCATCCTTTAGAGCGTGGATCGATCGGCTGATTGGCCGGGCGAAATGACCGACCACGAGATGTTGGCCATGCAGTTTTGGATGGCCGTTGGCTGTGGGGTTAATACAAAAGAGTATAGGGCTCATTTTAGTGGCCATTTGGGTGTGTCTTTGCGGGTTCGTGTCGCTGTGCCTTGGCTTGTACTTCTTTCGAAAGTAAGTTGGCTTGTTTTACTATGAGATCGACTTGGTTTTAACTACTTTTTCGGCTCTGGTAGGGTAGCGGAGGAAGTTTCTGCTCCGCCCCCCCCCCCGCTAATGGACTAGTACCTTTTTCGTTTCTTTCAGGTGGGGCCGCGAGACTGCTCTCGGTCTACCGGCCGCCACCGCCCCCATCCCGAACATCTTCCTCAATTACAACACCGCCAACGAAAAACTGTCCGGCCGTAGCCAAGCGGAATCCGGGGCCTCAACCCGCCCTCTACAAAAGCAAGATGCCGCCGAGAAAAGCGCCGAGCCGCCCAGCGAGAAGGAGCACCACGAGCCGGACAAGCCGAGGAAGTCGGGCAGCAAGGAGAGCAAGCCAAGATCACCTGTAACCCCCGCGGCTGCGGCGAAGAAGACCGCCCCGTTGCCGCGCGTCGCCAAAACCGCGCCGCACAAGACCATTTTCCGCGCCGCGGAGCTGCCGCCGCCCACGTGGGAAGGGTCCCAGGATGTGCCATGCTTTCCCAAGACGGTAGGAATCTAACGATAGAGAAAATGCCAAAATCCCGACATTCAAAATGCCGAAGTGCAGCACGATACGCAACGCGTCACCTAACGCAGCGCAGAGCAGCGTGATAAGCATGCGTTACGTGTCGCGGTACAAAAAATCATCTCGAAAACCGGTCGCTTGCCTACCCCTTAAAAACCTGAGTTCTAACTTTCAGGCTGCTCCTCTTCCGGCCACTGGCTACGGTAGCCCGCAAGACAAGGAGGAGCCTCATGTGCCAAACGCCAGCAAGGAGCTACCGAAAGAAAATCGCGACCCAGCCCTCGATCAAGCCGAGACTAAAGGTAGCGTCACCTTTCCACCCCGACTGCAACAAGTTTAGCCAACCGCACGCAGTCGTCGAAGGGGTCACGCAAGCGCGGTACGAGCAGCTACAAGCCGCCCGTCAACAAGATGCGCAACGTGCCAAATGATGGTGAACTTGTTGAGGCTGTGTCTGAGATTGATTTTAGACATCACCCAGACCTCGCAGAGCCACCACAGGTCGTATGTGCCGCTGCGGTTGGCCCCGACCATTGGTAGAGGGTCCTAAGGATTTATATAAACTATTCTCGGCGCTTCAGAAGTTGCTCCAACGGGTTCGCAGGAGAACGCGCAGCAGAACGGGGATGGGATGGCCCCGGCGATGCTCACCAATGAGGTAAACCTAGGTCGAAGCCTAAGCCGACGCCTGAGTTAAAGCCTCATCCTACGCCTAAGCCCAAGCCTAAGCCTAAACTCTTCCCGTCGTTCTAGCAGCCACCAGCGATCCCTGGAATGGCCCAGGGCAGCTATCGGGGCAGCTACCGAGGGCCCGCCCCCACCGAGCCGAAACCGAATGAGAGTCCGCACGAGGTAGGCCGTGTGAAAATTTTGGATTAAAGGGACTAGGAAGCTTCAAAATCGCCCCTTTCTTTTGCCTAAGTCTCGACAGCTAAGCAGTACTCGAGCAAAATACGCGGTGTATCTGACGCTTCCCAACCCTTAAAATGAGTTAAACGCACCTAGTTCATCTCCCATCCCTAATTTCCAGCAACCGAACGAGCCCCAAAAAGATGAGGAGCCGCAGCTCCCCCCGCAGTCGGCCTACATGCCCGTGGCGGCGGCCGACCTTGCTGCCGGCGGCGTCCACTCGATGTACATGCCTGCCGCGAAGAAGACATAGACCCCCGATACACACCCACACAGCCACTGATCCACGTCTCTTTAATCTATTCATCATCGCAATTCAATTCTCCTTCGCACGACAAATGACACTCGCTTGTGGCCTATGCTTTTTGGTGTGTCTGATGAATAAAGCATTCAGATCGTTGACTTGGGCATGATAAGGTGGATACACAAAAACTAAGAATTTTCTCTCTCTCGCACTCTCTTCTCTCTCCCCTCTCTCTCTCTCTATCTCTCTATCACTTTATCTCTAACTCGTTAATTCACACGCTTCTTCAAATGTTTGTATTAGGTGTTATAAAAGGTTAAAAAATAAGGCTGTGGTTCAGTTTACCCTCCCCCCCCCCGCCCAGCGGACCCACACATACCGTATCTCGGCTCCCTGTTCATCTATAGGTGTGTAAAGTATACCAAAATACTCGCCAAAGCAAGTCGAGCATTTTGGCATACTTTACACACCTGTAGACGAACACGGAGCCGAGATACAAAAGTTGGGTGCCGGCTGGGGGGAGAGGGGGGTAAACTGAACTCTTACCGAAAATAAGCTGTGATCGATTGAGCATGACTTGATATGAATTTCGCATTGATTTGACTCAATTCAATACAACATTCTGTGTGGCCGTCAGATGAGGCGGTTGCTCCTACTCGCCCTCCTGGCCTCAATTGCCGACCCGTTTTCTGTATGCTAATTGCAACAAACCAATATCGACCCTTTAGCTATCTGACCTCCTTGACGATGATGGAATAGGAGAGGATGATGAGGAATACTTCATCTGGGTCAGATCGGCCATCTTGATGAAGCGGCTCTGTTTAGCTGCTCGCCTTGGTGCCGCTGATCCCGGGCGCCCTCTCGATTCTGGTCATCTGCGCCGTGTTGATTTGGATCACTTCGAGGTATGACATTTGACGAAGGACCGCGCGTTCAATCCTTTAGCCATGCAAAGAAAAAGCGGAGGAGGCACAAAATTATGGGGGCACCTCGAAAGGAGCCGGACTCAGCTGCAAGTACTCCCTCAAGGAGTCCGGACTCGAGTCGAGCCAGCCTACGCTCGAAAATCGTTTCCGAAGCTTCGAGGCGGAGGAATCAAGCTCCAAGGGTTGGGTTGATTCTAGGTTATAAAATTTGGATCTTTCGCGTTATCGATGGGGGATTTGTCGGAGGACGAACTTTTTTTCTTTGTTCTCCAATTCTTCTAATATAAATATTGGAATTGTGTCTGACGGCTTTATTAAACTACGTTTTTTTATTGGAACATACAAAAATCTTTTTTCGCCCAAGAAAGCTTCCCCCGATAATGGAAAAGCACCTTTCTAAACCATTTAAATATATTTAGGCGAGAAACCCACCAAGAGCTGCTATGAAAAAACCTCGGGATACGGCTCGGCCGCCAGAAAAGGCGGAAAAGAAGAAGAGCTCGGCAGGAGAGGCTTCTCGTGCTCCACTTCCGCTTCCGAGTAATCAGCCAAAGCGCAAACCTTTTTGCAAGGTATCTTTGGAAACTTGTTAGGTCAAGATTGAGGCGTGATAACAGAAAAAATCCGAGAAATCTGCCGAATTCACTCATTAAGGACAACCCCACCGAGATCAGCGGCTCCAAGGAGGACACCCAAGCGCCACCTGCTCCTCCCCAGCCTCTTCCCCCTCCTACCCCAACGAAACAAACGGAGCGGAAACCTTTTTGCCAGGTAAGCACGATCTGTTTTCAAAATTACAAAAACAAATACAAAATTAGCAGTTTTATGAAAAACCACAAAAAATATCGAATGTTCGATCAAAAATGTTTTAACTTTTTGAGATTTTTTAGATTGTTTTCCGTGTGCAATATCATCAAATTTTACTATAGAACTATCAAACTACTAAGCAGACGTGGGAAAATCAAAGTTCATACCTTTGCCATCACTTTCAGGACAACCGCACCGATCTCAGCAGCTCCAAGGAGGACAGCCATCACTCGCAAAAGCTAGAAATACCGGGTTCATCTCAGTCATTTTACTAGGCTCCGATTTAGTGACGGTAAACACTACGCAAGCTTCCTTCGAACCATTGAAGCGAGCGGCCGGGACTAGGGAGAAGCTGCGCGACACTCCGGTTTCGAGAAATCCTCAACCAAATCCGCCGCTTATTGCTGTCACTCCAGGTAGGTAGCTTACACGATGTTTGTTGAAGCCCGTTGGAGCCTAAAAAACAGCTTAGGAAGCTGAAGCTCAAACTCTTTTCCAGAAGCCGTCGATGCGCCAAAAGTGGGGGCAAAGATTCAGACACCCTCTTCGCCGGGAACCATTGTGGTTAGGAGATTTTTCTCTCGAATTCTTACCCCAATTCCAGGCCCAACCATCGACTGATGGGTTCGAGAAGAAGCCGGAAAACTTGGAGGTAGACCGAAGCCTAAGGCTGCGCCTAGGACAAACCCAGATAACTTGAATACAACAAAAAACATTCAAAAATATATTCTTAGAATCGGCCCGAAAAACTGCCGGCTACAGTGACGTGTGGTGGGTGAATTTGAATATTAAAAGGGACAGGCAAGCCAGGAAATTTCTTAAGGAGGTTATGTTTTCTTAAGGAGCCAGGAAATTTCTTAAAACTTTTTATTTCGTTTAAAAGCTTAGAAAATTCAATTAAAATCTTATTAAAAAATCTTAAAACCTCACTTAATTTTTTAAACACCTAAGTATCCTAAGATATCGAGCTTCGAATGGCTATAATTGTAGATTTTAATAAGTCATTTAGGAAAAGCTATCCTAACTTTTTCTTAACCCGTAAGATTTATAATTTATCATTTCCCTCACCTAACACATGGTCCCTCCCCGCGTGCGAACAATGGAACAGCCCTTCCGCGCCATAAGTCAACATATGACAGGTCTCCCCCGGCCCCTGCTGTCCTCTCATAGCCCCCTTCCCCGCGCCAGCACCCGTCGGTCCCGTGGTGTAGCGGTTAGCACTCAGGACTCTGAATCCTGCGACGGGAGTTCAAATCTCCCCGGGACCTCAACGTTTTGCTTTTTGAGGAATGGAAATTTTCACCTTTGTCTTTTCTGCCGCAGTCTATTTTTTATTGGTAAAATTTCTTAGAATCTCGTGAATCTCGCGTAGAGATTTCCGGATACACCGAAGGGGAGTGACAAGACCGAGTCGCCGAGCTCTAACGTCGAGGTGAATTGTTCTATCTTTCAAAGCTTATCTATCCGGTTTTTAGGATCACGGACTTGTGAATAACGGGTCCCCAGCCGATACTCAGCCAGAGAAGCTGCCAAAGTCGACTTGCGATACCCCGAAGGCCCCGTCATCACCCGGATCTGCCTCTTTCATGAATATTTGAAGATGCCCCAGCCACACAGATTAACAGCTACCTCAATATCGATTGTGTTTTACGTCACGAGACTGATACTTTTGATATCCACACATATCTTTATTTGGATTGGAATAAAGTATGCCCGCAGATCCATTAATACGTATAACAAATCGCGCGTTTCACGCACCAAATAGACTCACCTAATTTCAATCCAAATCCTGAATTTGAAAAGCACCATCTTCTCTGCTGAGGACCATTTTTCGGCTGCACGCAATGAAGCCGCTGCTCCAACTGCTCATCCTCGCCACGCTGGCCGTCATCGCCGGGGCGCAGGCCGAATTCTTTCAAGATCTCGTGAGTCTGAAGAAGTAGATGAAGATCAAAATGACTGTTCAGCTCCAGCCACGCGACTCGACAGGGCGTCGCGTCAAGCGTTATGGCTACGGTGGACCCAGCTATATTGGGGAATTGATTGGTGAGAGATCTCACTCTCTCTATCTCTCTCTCTCTCTCTCTCTCTCTCTTCAATTAAGGTATTTTAGGCCTCTGCTGCTCTTGCATCTTCCTCGCCATTTGTTGTATCGGCTTCATCTACTGCTATATAAGGTAAGGGGTTAACATCAACCCCTTTTCCACAATCGCCTCTGCTAATCTCCCCAAACGCATTTGCCCAGGTACGTCAACGAAGGGACGCCGATCTACGTCAGCTCGCGTAGTGAGGGTCCCTCATCCCAACCCACTCGCATCGTCGTCACCCGGATTTGATAAGGTGAGAAACTCTGATTTTCACCTATCCTCGGAATTCAGAGCCACCTCAGCCTCATCACCAGCCTCCCGCCAAAACCAAACATAATTCCTATTCCTCGTTTTGTTATTTCGATGCCATACTGTAAAATAAACATTTTCGAACCGGAAATCCAATCAAATCCAAAGGGATGCATTTGAATTAACAGCATTCATAAAAATGAGCCTTCACCTCCGGCTGCTCCTCCACTTGGCCGCGATCGGCTCGATCTATTGTGCTACCATCCCGAATCGGGATACGGTATGCAAATCTGAGAACTCGCGAAATGTTTCGTTTTAAAGCGCCAAGCCCGCAACTACTCGGAAGAAGATGCCGCCGTAAACGGGCTCAGGGTCTTCTTCATCTTCATGTTGCTGTGTCTTTGTAAGAGAGCTTTTCTACTGCTTAACTTTTTTTCTGGTTTAAGTCATCTGCTTGCTGACGCCGGCCTGCTATGGGGGTCACTACTACTACTGCAATCATTATTGGTGGGGTAATCAGGAAGAAGCCTAAGCCTAAGCTTGAGCCTAAGCAAAGTCTATGTCCTGAGCCTAAACCACCGTATCCATCCATGTTCAGCCCATCCGGCCCGGTGGTGGTGGCCGAACCTGTTGGCCAGCCGGTCTACGTCCAATACCCCCCGCCGACATACGCCAACTATCCTCCACCCCCACAATACGCCAATGCTCCTCCTGCTCATCCTCCCCCTCCTCCTCCTCAGCAGCCGTCGACCCGCCAGCAACAGCCCCAGCAGCATCAGCCCAGCTCCTCCGATCGCTAGTTTCCACCAACAAAACCCCCGAATTGTACCCCGTCCCTTTCCCTGCTGTCCGCGATTTGAATAAAAGTCTTACAAGGGAATTTTGAGACAAATTTCATTCCGAGTTTTGCATTTGAAATTTTGCATAACCCACTGCCAGGGTCTTTCGCGAAGTGAACCCGTCAAAACTCCGAAACGATGGGCTGCGGGCTGGGCTACGCGACGCTCCTCTGGCTATCATTATTTGCCATCGTCGTCTACGGCGCCGAGCCTCGCCCCGACCAGCACAGCTACCATCAGTACGCAGATGATCACTATCACCCCACTACCACAGAAGCGACTTTCGTTCGTCCGCTCCAGCGCCAATGAATTATAGTTTTTGCAGGTTACTTCGGTCTGGAACACCTTCTTCTTCATTTTTGGGGGAATCTCCTTGATTGGTGAGCTTGGTGGACCAGAGTGCCTACGCCTAAGCCTAAGCCTAAGCCTAAGCCTAAGCCTAAGCCTAAGCAAAGGCTAGGCCTAAGCCTAAGCAATGGCTAAGTATATGCCTAAGCCGATCCTTAGTCCGATTTTTAGTCGCCATTTATACGCCCTGCATCTGCTGTTTCGGGATCATCTTCATCATAGGACGGTGGGTGCCTTCTATCTCAGGCCTTAGGGCGAAAGCGATTGAAAATACGTCACCCCGATAAAAGAAAAGCACCTAAAGCTAATTTGCAGGATGATCGATGATAACTCGAGGCCCCGGGTTATGCCCTGGTTGACACCACAGCCAGCGCCGGGCCAGTCACCTGCCACTACAGTAACCTGCCCAACTCCCTCGCCAACTACAGCCATTAGCCCAGCTCCCCTGCCAAAGACCGTCTAAAATCCGATTGACTGATGCCATTATCCATTTCTATTCTGTGTGTGCTTGAAATAAATATTCTAATTGCCTTCATTGTGAAAAAACTGGGTTAGAGTGCAGTTTACCCCCAGCCGGCACCCAACTTTTGTATCTCGGGTCCCTGTTCATCTACAGTGTGTCAAGTATGCTAAAATGTTCGTCTTGCCCTGGCGAGTATTTTGGTATACTTTACACACCTGTAGATGAACAGGGAGCCGAGATACGGTAGGTGGCGAGAGAGGGGAGATCAACTGCACTTCGGCCAAAAATTGTCCTTATTAAACCTCGAAAGGTAAATTTACTTAACAAATTTCCATCCATGTGTTTGCATAATTTTGCATGACCGTCTGCCAAGATTTCTCGTGAGAAGAAGCCGTCAAATCTCCGACACGATGAGCTACCGGCTGAGCTACGCCACGCTCCTCTGGCTGTCACTGTTTGCCGTCGTCGTCTACGGCTTCGCGGACCGCTATGGGGAGCGACACTGGCGGGAGGACACGACCACAACCACCACAACCCCCAAGGTACTCACCCTTAGTTCGTGAATTAAAAGTTTTTGCAGCCTGATTTGTACCTGGAAACCGCCCTCCAGATTGTCGCGTCTATCGTGGGATGTAGTGGGTTTTTCGAGCCGTGCAGCGCTAGAGAAAGGATATACCGGTGTCGTCTACCCACAGATCTTTTTCTAGTCTGCTGCTACGGGCCCTGCGTACTCATTTGCCTGATCGTCTACTGCTGCGCTAAGTGGGTTCTAGAGATTTTCACTTACTGTATCTTGACACCCCTATGTGCTAGGGGGTTTTAAAGTATACCAAAATCTTTGCCTTATTACGAAGAGTAAGAATTCATGTAGTTTAGTATTGTAAAAATAATGGTGAAACTGCGGGCTGCTGTATCTCGGCTCCCTGTTGGTCTACAGGTGTCTAAGGTATATCAAAACGTTCGTATTGTGCTGGCGAGCATTTTGATATACTTTACACACTTGTAGACCAACAGGGACCCGAGATACAAAAGTTGGGCGCCGGCTGGGCGGTATCTGCACTCCTACCTTTGTGCCAGTATAAAAAAAACTTTCGTTACAGGATGGGCGCTGAAAACGCGAGACCGCGTACGGTGCCCGTGATGTCGCCACAGCCCCCGCCGGCAACTCCCCGCCCGCAGACCGTCTAAAATCCAATCCACTCAGTTCATCATCCATTTCTATTCTCTGTGCACTCGGAATAAATGGTACTAGTCTCTTGACGTTTTTGATTACCTCAATTATTTTTTAAATGCCAAAAGCGGTCAAAAACAATTTGTAAACATTCTACTAAAATTACGCCAGATAAAATGAGCATAGCCAAAAATTAAAACCTTAACAATCTCGAATTTGCATCTAAGCTTTTACATGAGGATTTTTTCCTGCCACCGTGCCAGCTTTTTTCCGGAAGCGTAGCCGCCAAACCTCCAATACGATGGGCTGCCGGCTGGGCTACGCTACGCTCCTCTGGCTGGCCCTATTCCCCGTTGTTGTCCACGCGGTACCTTGCTCCACCTCATGATTCTCACCCTGTAGCACCAGTTGGCCCTCATTGAAGTCTGCTTCTTCGCGTTTCTGTTCCTGGGAGTGCCGAGTTGGTTTTGAAGAGGCAAGAGGAGTACCAGAAAATTTTTAGTCCTCTGCGTCTTGCCCGGCCTGTGCATTGGATTGATCGTCTATTTCGCCGTTAGGTGCGCACTTTTAAATCTATCTAATTTTTCTAATTTTTCAATATGTTTCTAAATCGTTCTATTATTCCTAGACGTGTAAACTTTACAAATTTTTATCGAAAAATTCCAGAAGTTACGAGAATTTCGACTTTTTTAAAGTTTTTGAAGTTTTAGATAGTTTTTCTAGTTTAAATCCAGTTGTAGATTAATAAAAACTGTTAACAACCTTCTGTCAACTTACGAGGCCTTTCTAGACTTATACAAAAGTTCGCCCCACCCCCGATAATGCAATAGAACCAAACCCATAGCAATACCTTGTCGCCGCCTTTAAAGAAATGGGGCCACAAATGGAGAAATTTCAGCCTGGCCAACCAGCCGACGACGTTCGTACAGGTGACGGGGTCCCAGACACCTCCGACACCGTCGCCCGCTGCTTGCCCACCCACCAAACAGCCCCACGCATCTCAACCGTACGCAGCTCGACCGGCTCCAGCTTCTTCGGCGGCACCATCTACAATGGCTGTTTAGGAAACACTTTTAAATTACCCCGTTGTCCATTTCTATTCTCTGTACGCGTCGAATAAATGTTGCAGCTCGAAAATTTGCATGAAAGTGGTTGTCTGTGTTTTTGTGGGTTTTCGTCACAGCTTCCACGACACGATGGGCTATCGGCTGGCCTACGCGACGCTCCTCTGGCTGTCACTATTTGCCGTCGTGGTCCACGGTACCGCGCAACGGCAAAACTATCCCGATGATAATCAGGTAACACTACAGGGTGCTTTTACATTATCGGGGGAGCTGAGAGGGGGAACCTATGTTTAACTAATGTTAATTGGCTTTGTAGTGTTTTTAGCAAAACGGGAGTATATTTCAGATGTAAAACTAACTAAAACCGTTTTAAAAAACGAATTTTTTGGCGAGCATCCGCCAAACAGTTTAGAATCGTTTCCGCTTTTTATATTAGTAAAATTGGGTACTAAGGAGAAAAGTGAGTCTCTCTCCCGGTCACCCCTTCCCCCCCGATAATGCTAAAGAACCCACTACACCATAAAGCGCTATCAAATCTAGATAGGTATAGGCTAGAATCTAGCGCGTATTGTCACATTCTTTCAGACAACCAAAGACTCGCATGAGCTCATCAACGTGATCCCGCTTCTTCTCGTGTTTTGTGAGTACCAGCCCTTGCTTTCAATTCCTCTCCGAATTTCCAGGCATGGTGTGCGGAACATTTTGCCCATGTCTCCTCTGTGGCCTTATCGCTTATTGCCTGATCATGCTGTGGGTTAATGCATTTCGGAGCTTTTGCATTATCGGGGGGGGGGTGTATTGGACAATCGGGGGCTTACTACTTAATTATTTTCAATAAACTTTTACTGCCCTATAACGAAATATAACCCATTTCTATAGAATTTTACACATTTCTAGATGGAAAAAATCAGTCTTCATATCTAAAATTTGTTTAATCATTTTTATAATTTTCTAGAAAACAAAAACTACTAAAAACACTACTAAGATGTACCTTATATTATCAACGGAGAGGTGTAGGCGGAAAAACAAAGAGAGAGAGAGAGCGCGCGAGAGAGAGAGAGAGAGATAGAGATAGATAGAGAGCTAAATGTGTGCTAACTGTTACGTAAATTTCTTGCAGCTACGAAAGAGGGGACCCTACGTACGAGACAGGCCGCGGCTGGTGGCCAACTCCGCCGCAGCCGCCCCAGTTTACCGTCATCACGGCCGCCGCGCCGCCACCAGCGCCATCCGCGCCACCCGCGCCGCGCGCACCGATAGTGCCGAGCGCGCCGTCCGCGCCGTCCGCGCCGACCGTCCCTTCCGCTCCGCCCGCGACGCCTCCTCCGACGCCCCCTCCGACTCCCGCTGCGCTCCAACCGACTGCTTACTGATGACGGCGTCACGTAGAAGACTCGAAAACATTGCCCTTCCCTGTATTTGCCGTGTGATTTCCTTTCCGCTTCGATAAATCCTACCTTATATAACTTTGGCGTGTCTCTCTGTGTGTCTGCATCCGGGAGGGCTAATTTGCATAATGCGAAATAAATAGAAGTTTCCCCATTCGGCTTAAGTGCAGTTTACCCCCCCAGCCCTAACTTTTCAGCCATACGTTCTATTAATGCGCCGAGTATCTCAAAATGTTCGCCGTGGTCGAATTACTATAAGAAAGTTGTTTTCTTATATCAAAAATTGTTAGAAAAATTTTTATAACAATTATAAGTCTGGGTTTTCTTTAGTTAATTTTTGCTGTTCCAAAGTGAGTTTTCGTATCTCGGCTATCTTTTGACGTACAGAGCTGTCAATAGTACGAAAATGTAGCTCTTGCTCTGGAGAATAAGCCTACAGTACGTTTGAGCCGAAAAATTAGCGGAAAATAAAAATATTTGAGTTTTAGACTCCTAGTACATCGAAGCATAGCGGCTTAATCTTTTCAACTTTCAAAATCTTGTAAAAAATTTTTTAGCAATTTTTGCCGCAAGAAAACAACTTTTTTATAGTAATTCGACCACGGCGAACATTTTGAGATACTCGGCGCATTAATAGGACGTATGGCTGAAAAGTTAGGGCTGGGGGGGTAAACTGCACTCTAACCCCCCATTCTTGCAAGTTGCACGCGCGTGTGTGGTCGGGGGAGGGGAGGGTCCGAAGTGCCCAGGCTACCACAAAGTCAAATTTACTATGTAAAGTCCGCATTCCAGCGCCCAAGGCCCGCGAAGCGGGTTTTGGGCGCTGGAATTGCTGTAAATTGTCGCAAATGCAGAGAAAATTGCAAATGCAGATTTGGGGTGTTTTGGTATTTTCAGAGGGGTCGGGATTTTTCGATATGGCTAGTTTGGCATGGCATCTTATTACCAATTTTAATAGCTTATAAAGTAAATTTCAGTTATATTCCCGGGTCAGAAACTTAGAAAAAAAAGAAAAGATTCAAAATTTTTTTTGGAAAATTGGCAATTTTTCGTTAAAAACTAAATTTCTAACGTTTTTCTGTCAAATTTTTTTGTAGATTTTATGTATGGATAGTGATAAACAAACAAAAAAATTATATTAGCAAAAGTCGCTCCTAGAGATTTTCCACCGAAAACCCGGCATCTCTAATATTCTTTTCTGAAAACTTTTTGAAAATTTTGCGCATTTAATATTTATATTAGCAAGATGCGTTCCTACGCCCCGGGAAAGCCTAGGGACCTATTTTTTTGTAAAATTAGAGTAGGGTTAAGCTAAGAATTTTGTATTTTTTTCAAAGCACCTTTCCTAAAACGCCATAAAATCATTGTCAGGCCATTTTTCCGAAAAGCGGTGCTCAGTGGGGGTGTCAGGGCTCTTGCTCCTTATCCCCGAGGGGCAAAGGGGCAAGAGGGAATAATGAATTCCGGGGGGTGGTGGCCCGGCGACGCGACCTTATAGCCTAACGGGAAAGGGGCACCCTATAGGGAAGGGGGATGGCTATCGCTCTTTGCTAAGCCTGCGCCCTACTGGGCCCCGGTGGGCCCTAAGAATCGATGGGGCCCTGGGGGATGGGGAAGAGAGCGAGAGAGACAGAGAGAGAGAGAGAGAGAGAGAGAGAGAGAACGCCGGAAGGGGCGCGAGAGATCATGGACTCACGAGAGGGCCCAGGGCCCGGATCCGTGGATTCTGGCCCCGATATTCGGCCTCTAGGGCCCTTTCCCGGGGCTTTCTCTGGGCCCACCGTCGCCGTGCTGCTATGTCCTTCCTTTTACGCCGGGGTTTCTCTTTTTCTTTGCACACATCGTCGCGAGGAGTGTCAAGACGGATTCTGGGCCCCTGCCCCGGGACCGCGACGTCATCTGGTGGCGAAACCGGAGCCGTTGGTGTGGTGATTAGGGCAATGTTCAGTTTTGAAGGCCTGGCTCGTTGTCCTGAGGCCATTTTTATACATCCCCAACCGCATAAACTCATTCAAACCCTATTTTTCTTCATTTTGTTGGTAGATTTTGATACTGGCGTGCTAAAATTTTTATAACGTATGCTAGCGCCTGGCGAAACCAAATGGTGATGAGAGCAATGTTTAATTTTTGAGGTCGAGGTTGTTTCCATGAATTTTTTTAATGCCAATTTTTATCAATCCATTAAATTTTTTATAAAAATTAATTCCATTCGATTTTAACCTCGATCATGGTTGGTTTTAGAAGATGTTTAACCTATTTTCAAGCCAAAATTCTCCTCACGGTTCGAGGTAAATTTCTTCACTACCGATTTCGGGTTTCTATAAAAACTTATTTTCGATTTCCCCACATCCTTGGACTATTTTGATGCATTTCAAGCTGGTTAGGCTATTTTCAAGCGCGGGTAATCTCGATTTTCCAGGTGCTTTCTTGCTGCTAATAATTCCCGGTTTCCAAAAAGAGTCTCTCGTTCTTTCCCCTCTTTCAAAATGTTGCCAAATCGACATGACTTTTCGAATTCTCCTCCCAATTTTGATCCCCTGATGTCGTCAGCCCCCGACGGTC